GCCCGGCGCGACATTGCCGGGTATCGGCACAACCATCTGTACCTCATCACGTCGACACCTGTGGCATTCCCCCTGAGTCTGCGCAAACCCCAGTCTGGTCTAGGCCTCGAAGTGCCCCTCCCGTAGCCATAGATTCAAAGCCCATTCCACCTGTTTGGCCATATGCAAGTGCTGGCATTGAACCTGACTGAATACCATCCCTCCCGGGAGGTGGGGATGGTTGCTGCGTTGTGGTGCCATAGCCCTGCCCAAGCCGAAGCGTTGGGCTCATAACCTGCTGAGGTGAAGCCCCAGCAGGTTGTGTAGAAACAAGTGGAGTGATCAAGTCCCCTGCTCCTAACCCTGCCATGGCTCACCAAACACGCGGAGTTTTTACACACAAGCAGAAGACAGAAAAACGTGAAGTCTGTGCTACTTGCGAGGGCTTGGCACCTACAACTATGAATGTACAGATGTGCTTAAAATGCATTGCTCAAGACCTACTGTGCCTGGCCTTGAGCCAAAAGAAAAAGGACATGTACACATGGCATGAGCTGCAAAAGAAGCATGCACTTCAGCAGTTGGGGTAATATATGTGAATATAACATATATATATATATATATATTCATTCCGTGCGCTGCTCTGCACACTTCGGCGAACACCCACAACGCTTCATCAAGGTCCCAGTCGTCGTCGATAAGCTCCTTTGCGAAACCTTCAAGGTCTTGCAAGCTCAAGCGCGCTACACGGGCAGACTCCTCCTCATCCAGTGGCACAGGCCCTTCCGGGTGTGGAGCTTCTGCTGGCGGTGGCAAGGGTGGCGGCGGGTCGAGTGCAAAAACGTTGTCAAGTCTTGCACCACAGGGCCGCTTGCCGCTAACCCTGCGTGGAGGTGGTGCGTGCTCCTCCTCAAGAGAGTCTCCTACAAACCGTAAGGGCGGTGGATCCGGGGAAACAAGGCGGGTGCGAACATGGAGTGTTTGCACAAAGCCGTTGCCAACACCATCGCTGCGCAACACGATGTGACCATCATTCACAGATGGTGACAACCCCATATACTTACCTTCAACCCATCTATCCTCCAAATCACCCTTCTTGCTAAGAAACTTTCGCTTCACGGAACACTTCCCTCCAAAGTGGATGGCAAGCTTGGACTTCATGCCCAGCTGTTGCGCCCGTTACTGAGCCGCAGCTGTCATGATTGCACAAGGCCACAAGGACGAGTCAACCTCGCCACAGGTGAGAAGTGTTCGCGCTCGTGCTTTGAGCCAACGCACGGTGTTCTCAGCAGAACCGTTTTGCTGCGGCACGTCCCCTTCTGTCGTTGTTGTGCGGACTCCACGCTCGTGAAACCAAGCTCGAGTCCTTTTGTTGAAGAACTCACGACTGCGGTCTGTGTGGAAACGAAGTACGGGGAGGTTTAGGGACCTTAAGGAAATGTACACCTGTTGGAGAGCACTTAGGATATCATCACCCTTGTTTGTGTGAAGTGGCACTGCAAACAGGCGGTGTTTCAAGCTCACACCTGGGTGACTTCCAGGGATGCTCCTCGGGTGACTTTGGCTGCGAGCTCTCTAGGCTCTTCAACTCCTTCGTCTTCCGCCTCCTCCTCCTCCTCCTCCTCCTCCTCCTCCAAACTTGGCTCGTACAGGGACCTCGTAATCCTCGCGCGGGGGCCCTTCTGCTACCGGAAAGGCCTCATCTGCAAGGTCATCCGTCCCTCGGTTTGCCTAGGGTCTGACTCCTCCTTCACTCCTTTGAGCCGTGGGAAGCGGTACGACACAGCGGGGAAGTGCTTGAACGTGGCTGGTCGGTGGTTGCGGCTTTCTGGGTCTTTGCCCTTCACGCGGATGGGGCCCGCAATGTCAGCTGACATGCAATACACATCCGGGTGAACTACGCCGTGGTGGCGGCGCCGGCCGTTTCCGGCACCGTGCACGCAAACCGCGAAATCCCGGCGGTACGGCGCGTGATTGTTCGCAACATGCTGTTCCCAATCCGCTTGGGTGAATTTCATGAGGCGGTAACATGGCCAACGTTGGAGTGCGTACACGATGGCTTGCACAAACCCCGGCGCCCGCACTGGAGACACACGGCTGTCGGCACTACAACAAACCTGCGACACCTCACCCTGCAACGCTTGCAAGTCTCTAAGGTCGGGCAAGTTTGTGCCAACAGTTGTGGGTTTATCGCCCGCGTGTCCCAACGGACCTTGACGGAAATGCACTTCGAACAAACCAGCCTCTTCAGCGTAAGTTTGCCACAGCGCGGTATTCCAAAACGACGGGGCGCTTCCCACAGCAGAATGGCTTGAAGCCATGTGGTGTTCGACCGACGGTTGCTCCAACATGAATGCCACCATGGATGTTCCATCCGATGGGTTTGGGTGCACACGCCTCCCGGCGGTGGAAAGTGCATGCAACCACAACATGCGAGCATGCAAACCCGTGTCACGATCAACGAGATCACGCTCGTCAGAGGTGAGAGTGCTCAGGCCAAACGGTTCAGTGGGCGAGCGGAGTGGATGTGGTCCATCGGCGCGGTGCCCTGTCATGGACCACGTGCGGGTTGGTGGACCTCCAATGACCGCCGCAACTCGTCCCAACTTTGCAACCTTAGCAAGAAGCGTCCAAAGAGGATCATGGTAAAGATCTTGGCTTCTTGAGCGGCAAATGTCAAGCTCAACAACAACTGTATCCTGCGACTCCAATCGTTTGACAGCCTTGTGCGAGCCAGGGCCCGCAAACAAGTGAACAACCCAGTTGGATGCTCGATGAAGTGCCTTCCTCCTTCGCCGATTGAGGTTTCGCATACCTTCTTCAAGAGCTCTCCGCAAAGTCTTGGAGTCCACATCTTCCGATGGGAGTATGCCTGACAATGCGCGGTCGGGCAGATCCTGAAAGAATGGTGCCGTGGATACTGCCATGTGGCTCGCTGCTGGCGCTGACGAGCTCACATGCTCAACCACATGATCCCACCATGTGCGCTGCGTCGCGATTTTCGCTTGTCTGATGCGATCCTTCCCCTCATCCGTTCTTCGCCTGAGCTGTCGCATTTTGTGTTCCTCCAACCGTGATATCAGCATAAGGGCCTGGCTCTCAACCAATTCCGGGCAACCATTTTTGACCCTAAGCCTCAACGACTTACCATCAGGAGGATACAGCTTGCAACTACCGGCGGACCAAACCAGCTTATACCCCAACTGCTCTATGATAGCACCCATGGGGACAATTGGCACGAGGCCGTCCCTTCCGGGTGGCAGTAGGAGAGTGCCCGCACGCGTCAAACGCATGATTGTGCTCTGGTCGCCGGCTAAACTCACTTGTACCTCCTCTGCGGCCTCCCACTCCTCCTCAGATGATGCTTGCCGCATGGGGTGAGTGGCACCGGAGTCGAGAAGGGCGTAACCAATGAGAGGTGGTTGGGATGCAACGGGTGATGGCTCCACCGCGGGCTCAATGGGAAAGTCCCGGTTTGGGGGACCCGAAACCGGGAAACAACTTGTGGGCATAACTGAGCGAATGGTGAGCCTCTTCACCGAAGGATTCGGTGTCGGCGAGGTCTGTTGTGATGCATTGCTCAAGCCTTCCGGCTGAGGTTGAGGCGACTGGGCATGTGGCGCAGCGTCGCTGCGCGGTGGTTGGGCCTCCAACTGCCTTAAGGCCTGGACTGCCTGTTGCATGAAGGTGTCCATGTTGAGCACTGGGGTGGCTTGGACGACAGATTGGCTTGAGGATGTGGAGGATGAAGCGGCCTGTATGGAAGGTTTCTGATCCGGTCCTTTGGTTCCGCCTTACCCGCCTGGAGGCGGTGCAAAGGATGTTGGTGTACCGTGCGCTCCCAATTGTGGTGGCGAGCTTGTATGCGAACCCAAACTTCCCTCTCCCAAGGCCAATTGCCCTGAAGCACCGCTCGGACTATCACGAGTTTGTGATGTGGTTCGTGGTGGTGTGGCGTGTGTGCCTTGCAGCACTGCGGGTACCTGCACCACCTCAGTGCGCGCTACACGGAAAAATCTCCAACCCTCGTCATGAGTTGAAGCCGCGTACCAGGGAAACCTTCAACCATCTCAGCTATGGTTGGCAATCCCTGCTGTGACCGTGGGGTCGCAAACCCGTCCGTGGAAGCACCAGCGACTACTCTGCCTCCTGGCTCTGCGTCGGGCGTCACCACTCGCGGTACCTGACATGCCAGTGCTGGCCTCTAGCCCTGGGCTCCCGCCCGGCGCGACATTGCCGGGTATCGGCACAACCATCTGTACCTCATCACCGCCTTCAGTGGCGGTCGACACCTGTGGCATTCCCCCTGAGTCTGCGCAAACCCCAGTCTGGTCTAGGCCTCGAAGTGCCCCTCCCGTAGCCATAGATTCAAAGCCCATTCCACCTGTTTGGCCATATGCAAGTGCTGGCATTGAACCTGACTGAATACCATCCCTCCCGGGAGGTGGGGATGGTTGCTGCGTTGTGGTGCCATAGCCCTGCCCAAGCCGAAGCGTTGGGCTCATAACCTGCTGAGGTGAAGCCCCAGCAGGTTGTGTAGAAACAAGTGGAGTGATCAAGTCCCCTGCTCCTAACCCTGCCATGGCTCACCAAACACGCGGAGTTTTTACACACAAGCAGAAGACAGAAAAACGTGAAGTCTGTGCTACTTGCGAGGGCTTGGCACCTACAACTATGAATGTACAGATGTGCTTAAAATGCATTGCTCAAGACCTACTGTGCCTGGCCTTGAGCCAAAAGAAAAAGGACATGTACACATGGCATGAGCTGCAAAAGAAGCATGCACTTCAGCAGTTGGGGTAATATATGTGAATATAACATATATATATATATATATATTCATTCCGAAGCCACAATGAAAGGTGAACCGTTTATGAGATTTGAGGGATGTGCTGAGGAGTGCAGGGTTCCTGGTGCTGTGACGGGTTCAGGGCTTGGAGCGTAGGGGTTTAGAGTCCGGGATTTCGTGAAGCTTAGAGGGGGCCTTTGGGCTTTCAGTTTGCACCGGTGTTTCAATGCAGGCTCCGGGCGAGTGGAGGAACTTCGAGGTAGCCTGTGCGCCAAGCACACCGTGGCTGCAGGCTGGCCGTTCACTAAACGCTGACCATTTTGTAGGGTTAGCAATGCTCCGGGGCGCGGCACGTCATCGGACCTGAGAGCAAACATACTTCAGCAGGTTTGGGATTCGATTCCATTTGTTAGGTTCCCATGACAGGTCTAGCTCTTTTTGGCCCCTGAAATTCCGATGGAATGCATGGAAACCCGACGAATGATCTGCCAAACGCACTGGGATCACTGGCAAGGTTGCACCTTTGCAGCGGCATAGGGTTTGGCAGTTGAGGAATACAGAGAAACCTGCGTTGGAGTTGGGGCCCTGGCCCGCAGAGCACGCAAAGGCCTACACATAGAACTTACTGTAGATCACTCGGCTCAGTCCCGTAAGGTTACAAAACTGGGCAAGACGAGTTGTTCATGATCTATGTACCCAGTACTGAAAAGCTGTACCCGCATAACGACCGCCGACTGCATTGTACGTTCTACCTGACGAAAGCCACACAACGACTGCATCTGCAGGTTGATCCCGCTTCGGGAGCACTTACCGAGGTGTCGCAGTCTCCTGGTGCAACTGCTGGTTCTGTGGACACCGAGGCACCATGCGGGGCATTGGGAGTTTTGGAATTTTAGGTATACCTTTGGTGGAGGCACGGCCTCGGCTGTGCGCCGGTGGGTCCCGTGGCATATCTCATATCTCGGGCACGTAACCGACTCAGAGCCCAACTGAACCCGAATCGGTGCGTGGCTTGGCTTTGCTCCTTTTGGGTTTCTCAGTGCTTGATCTCCAAGCTTTCAACGTCGGTGGTTGTGTGGCAAGGGCCTGCAGCGGGTAACAGGGGCCCATCGATCAGGAATATTGTTGTTCTGACTACCGTATTGTTGATTGTTTATTTACTGTAGTACGACTGCCCCATCATGACATGGCGGTTGCAAAGAGAATTTCAGAACTGGTCACTATAGTACCACCTTGCAGGTCGTACCCTCAACCCTTAACCCTAGATCACCCCTGCCACAGGACACCCAGTTTGCCGGCCAAAAAGGCGGGATTTGCGTCGTGAAGGCCTTGCACAAGGCTCGTTTTAGGGTGTAGGATGCTTTGTATCACACCTACACGGGATAGGACGTTTGTTGTGCCCAGCAGCCGTAATTAGTACGTCAAGGCACGCAGAATGCATGTCAAGCAGCTGAATCCATGCAGTGCCAATATCTTCGATTTCGCCAGTCCATTCGCCAGTGCCGGCAAACAACTTAACCTTATGCAAGCACTGGCCCCGTGATTTGTTGGTTCTGGTGCAGGGTCTCTCAGCTGGCTTGAGGGGCGACTACTACTACGGCAATTTTGCCTGCACTGTCCCGAGTCTCGGGGATTCGACCCTTGGCAAGCGGGGTGCTCTTCAGGATGGCTTAGCCCTCGGGCCCAAGCCGAGGGCACAAAGATTTGGAAGGATTACATGTGAAATTTTCCCTCAAACTCCAGCCTGCGATCACCCGCACAACTTGGGAGGGCTGCAACAAGCAACGTGCCAGCACGAAAGCCCCAAACCCTAAGCCCCTAGACCTTAACAGAGTGTTCGTGCACAAAGGGATGTGGTGCACAGCGTCATCGTGCCAGAGATCGACTTCGACAACAACTTCCCGGAAGTTCGGCAACCGGGCAACTGGTGCTTCAGGCGGGTCTGCTTTTCAAAACACCGGATGAACAGCAGTCTAGAGTACGAGATTTACATGTTTGGAGCTTGTATAAGCATTGTCCAACGGTGACTGACACTTTCAATTCCCCCCCCCCCCCACGGTTTGTCTTATTATCGCTACGGCGCTACGGCCGTCCGTCTCCCGGGTTAGGTTTGAGGAGCCGCCCCCTCTGCTCGTGTTCTCCAGGCTCACGGGCTACCTTGGCATCAGCTACGGCGGCAGCTACCGATTCACGCTCAGCTCCGATGATGGTGCCCGCTTGGGCTGAGGGTGGGCAGATATAGGCACCCCCAATGAAGGGCCCCAATGCACACCATCCCGTGTGTTGAGAGGTTCCCGGCTCTATTTGAACGGGGCCCTCCTCATTAACAACGACGGCTGCGGATACAGTGAAGTAACCGGCCAGACTTCCTTGGAAACCGGGCACCATGTACTGGAAGTGCACTTTTGCGAGGGAGGTGGGTGACTTGGCTCAGGTATAAGCTTGAAATTCAATCCTGACGCCCAATCGAGGAAACATCACAAAGCCCTGGTTTTCGCGTACGGGTTTGTTTGTCCCAAAAACCAGGAGCCAAACGGTTCTACCAATGCCCGGCGTTCAGAATCCTGGAGTTACATGTTTCAACTTCCACAAGTATAGTCCCGTTACATGTCCCCAATTATTCTGTGCATAATCCTTATCATTCCTCTGCTTGCCCCAGTTTCGGCTGGACTAAATTTCCGTGAAGCCTCCTACACCCTCCCAGACCTGTAATCCCCAAAGTGTCTCAGGTCGGAGAGCTTGAGGCTCCAGTATGAAGGGCCTGACAGCTCGAACATGAAGATCACGGCGCCGCGCCAGGGTTTAGGGGGTGCCATGGGGGGGTCTCAGGGAATTTAGGGGTTCCGGTTCAGGGCTAAAGTGTGGTGAGATTGCCATCGTTTCTATCCGCCCACCCTCTAACTTGGAAGATGTTTGCCGACTTTTATGGTTCATTTGCTGTTGCGATCCGCGCGCAACCCCTATAAAGCCATGACGTGTCATGCCGAAACTATGTGCAGGTGCCCGCGACAGCTTTCTTCCACGACTCTGATGAGGACACAGACCCGGACCCACACCCAGAAATTCACGATGTCGCAAGTCCTCTGCCCCCGTCCTAGTTGACTTCCTTTTGGTTGGGCCTTGCAGATTCTTGACAGGGCCTTACACAAAAACAGAAAGCAAAAGCCCCTGTGCAGAGTTCTGAGCCGCCCCCCCGTTTGCAGCAGGAGGCCTTCACTGAGCAGAAGGCCCAGGGGGGGGGGGGCCGAGGGCAGGAGCCCGCAGCTCGGGGGGGGGGGGGGGGCCTCCTTAGTACTCCTCCTGGGGCTAGCCATGCTCCTCGAGGACCATTGCAATTTGACGATATGTCTGAAATCAAAAGCAAGTCTTGCCCTGCGCTGTTGTTGTGTGGAGGATCCCGCATGCAATCTATAAGGCGTGCACCTGAGCCCACGAATTCGGGATGGTGTGGGCTTTCGCATGTCACCACAACAAGAAGCGTCCTGCGTTCTCATTACCGGCATGCAGAGGCTGATTCTGGGGCTTGTTAACCACGGCGCCGATCCGAACTTAACTGTCTTCAACCCTCTTAGCCCCAGGCACTGCATCTTAAACCCTCTATGAATCTCAAATCCTAAGCTAAAAGCCGGAATGCCGTGCCAGGCTCGCGTCGTTGCCTTAAGCCCACAGCCATGGACAAGCCTGGCCTACCAGGCGTGGCCCGAGGTTACGGTTCGGGGTGGGGCGTTGTGTGAGGCCTGGGCTTCAACCGGGTTGAGGGCACAGGGGCAAGTTTGTTAACTAGGGCAAGAAGTGGCCTTAGGGCTTGGGTTTAGGGGTAGTCGTGCTTTGGAGCTGGGGCAGGTGAGTTAGCCCGAAAAACCCTCAACATGTTGTTTTCTTTAATAGTCCTGTCGGGTTGACTCTTTGAGGCTCAGGGTGGTTTGGGGTTGATTACGGGGGTTGTGTCTCGGACAAGCCCTTTGGAGCTGCGTGGTTTGGAGGGTTCAAGTCTGTAGTTCGCGTTTGCGGTTTAAGGTGTCACGATACTCTGAAGTCTGAATAGACAAACACGCTCCACAGCCAGAAACTGCTGGAATCCTCTAACTACGTAACCCCTCTAAGGCCTAGTGTTGCGCCCTTTTAGCCTTGATCCCTAAACCCTTCATCACGACCTTTGCATGTGTCGCATTGGAGGGTTTAGGGTTTACGGTGTTGGGTTTAAATTTAGGGTTTGGGGGTTTGTTTAGGGTTGAAGATTTTGTGTTTAGGGCTCATGCAGGGTCTAGGAGTGCTCAGGGTACAGGGCAAGCCCTGGATTTGGAGGTCCATTGCAAGTCACATCACGAAAGCTAGCCTCCGGGCTCGCTGAGTTTCTTATCAACCGACGGTTGCAACAAGGGATATGGGGTGGGTTTTGGCCGTTGGCCCACGCGGGCGGTTTTTGAGTGTTCAAACCAATGATGTCTGGAGCTTTCTTGCATGTTTGGAGGCCCCTATTTGTACCCTGTAGCTTGTCTAGCTTTCATCTCAGTCCCTCCTCCCCAATGTTGCCCAGCCTCAGGGCCGAACAAGCTATCGAACCTCCAAGAACCCAAACTTCCTGAACAGACACACTCGGTCTCGGTGACGCTTGGGGTGCCCCGGCATTCAGATTCATGGAGCTGCTGAAGCCGAGGAATTCAAGGATTCTGGGTCCATGGCTTTCTTGGTTTAGGGTTCAGGGTTCTTTTTGCTTCATAAGCCCACCCTGAACCTGCAGCTGCCTACATCCCAAGCTGTAAGCCATAGACTCCCCCATGCTAACATAACTTGGTGGCTGTTTCGGGGATTTTTAATTTTTTGGTGTTTTGTGGGGTTCATTGCATACAACCAACTGCAGCCTTCAGGCTCGAGGGGTCAGACCAGGCATCAATCCAACCAGGTGTTTCCAGTGGAAACACCTGGTTGGAGTTGATGCCTGTCGGGGGATGCACGGACATCCCTCACCCCTGCAAGATGTCTGTGGTCCCACCACCGACATCTTGCAGGGGTGAAGGATGTGCGTGCATGAACCCCGACCGAGGCCCCAGCGTGCATGGATAGAGACATCCATCACCCCCGCAAGATGTCTGTGGTCCCACCACTGACATCTTGCGGGGGTGAGGGATGCCCGTGCATCCCCGACCGAGGCCCCAGCGTGCATGCACAGACCCAGAACAATGCACCAGGCTCGGTCAGACCCCAGCATGCATGCACAGACCAATGCACGAGGCTCGGTCAGACCCAGAACAATGCACCAGGCTGGGTCAGACCCCAGCATGCATGCACAGACCCAGAACAATGCACCAGGCTCGGTCAGACCCCAGCATGCATGCACAGACCAATGCACGAGGCTCGGTCAGACCCAGAACAATGCACCAGGCTGGGTCAGACCCCAGCATGCATGCACAGACCCAGAACAATGCACCAGGCTCGGTCAGACCCCAGCATGCAGGTCCAGGCTCAGTCAGTCAGACTACAGTAGGTGGTGGCTCCAAGGCTCCCAGGCTGCCAGGCTCAAGGCCCACCCCTAACCCGTGCCGCCATGTCTTCATGGACTTCGTCGTGATCACTCTTCGGCTGTGGCCGCAGCCGCAGCCGCAGCCTCAGGGGGGGGGGGGCAGGACGAGAGCAAAAATCATATTATAGCATGACATGCAATGACAGTCAGCTGCTTTGACTTGCGATTCCTGTCACGGCGGCTCCCAGGCACTTTAGGCTCCCAGGCACTTTAGGCTCCCAGGTTTCAGTCAGTTCCACTGAGGTTTCCTGCCGACGGCCGCCGCGGCTCTTCGAAGACAAGCCGCCAGTTTTGCATTTACCCGTGGAGTGTTGCATGCATGCCTTGAGTGTTTGCCGTGCACCACATGCAATCAGAGTCAGCTGCTTTGACTTGCGAGTGTTGCCACTGGAGTGTTTGCCGAGCACCACATGCAATGACAGTCAGCTGCTTTCAGTTTAGGCTCCCAGGCACTTTAGGCTCCCAGGTTTCAGTCAGACAGTTCCACTGAGGTTTCCTCCGACGGCCGCCGCGGCTCTTCGAAGACAAGCCGCTAGTTTTGCATTTACCCGTGGAGTGTTGCATGCATGCCTAGAGTGTTTGCCGTGCACCACATGCAATCACAGTCAGCTGCTTTGACTTGCGAGTGTTGCCACTGGAGTGTTTGCCGAGCACCACATGCAATGACAGTCAGCTGCTTTCACTTTAGGCTCCCAGGCACTTTAGGCTCCCAGGCACTTTAGGCTTTCAGTCAGTTCCACTGAGGTTTTGAACACCTGCCGACGGCCGCCGCGGCTCTTCGAAGTTTGAAGACGAGCCGCCAGTTTTGCATGCACCCGTGGAGTGTTGCATGCATGCCTAGAGTGTTTGCCGTGCACCACATGCAATCACAGTCAGCTGCTTTGACTTGCGAGTGTTGCCACTGGAGCGTTTGTCGAGCACCACATGCAATGACAGTCAGCTGCTTTCACTTTAGGCTCCCAGGCACTTTAGGCTCCCAGGTTTCACTCAGTTCCACCGAGGTTTCCTGCCGAAGGCCGCCGCGGCTCTTCGAAGACAAGCCGCCAGTTTTGCATTTACCCGTGGAGTGTTGCATGCATGCCTAGAGTGTTTGCCGTGCACCACATGCAATCACAGTCAGCTGCTTTGACTTGCGAGTGTTGCCACTGGAGTGTTTGCCGAGCACCACATGCAATGACAGTCAGCTGCTTTCACTTTAGGCTCCCAGGCACTTTAGGCTCCCAGGTTTCAGTCAGTTCCACTGAGGTTTGAACACCTGCCGACGGCCGCCGCGGCTCTTCGAAGACAAGCCGCTAGTTTTGCATTTACCCGTGGAGTGTTGCATGCATGCCTAGAGTGTTTGCCGTGCACCACATGCAATCACAGTCAGCTGCTTTGACTTGCGAGTGTTGCCACTGGAGTGTTTGTCGAGCACCACATGCAATGACAGTCAGCTGCTTTCACTTTAGGCTCCCAGGCACTTTAGGCTCCCAGGTTTCAGTCAGCCCCACTGAGGTTTTGAACACCTGCCGACGGCCGCCGCGGCTCTTCGAAGTTTGAAGACAAGCCGCCAGTTTTGCATGCACCCGTGGAGTGTTGCATGCATGCCTAGAGTGTTTGCCGTGCACCACATGCAATCACAGTCAGCTGCTTTGACTTGCGAGTGTTGCCACTGGAGCGTTTGTCGAGCACCACATGCAATGACAGTCAGCTGCTTTCACTTTAGGCTCCCAGGCACTTTAGGCTCCCAGGTTTCACTCAGTTCCACTGAGGTTTCCTCCGACGGCCGCCGCGGCTCTTCGAAGACAAGCCGCCAGTTTTGCATTTACCCGTGGAGTGTTGCATGCATGCCTAGAGTGTTTGCCGTGCACCACATGCAATCACAGTCAGCTGCTTTGACTTGCGAGTGTTGCCACTGGAGTGTTTGCCGAGCACCACATGCAATGACAGTCAGCTGCTTTCACTTTAGGCTCCCAGGCACTTTAGGCTCTCCCAGGTTTCAGTCAGTTCCACTGAGGTTTTGAACACCTGCCGACGGCCGCCGCGGCTCTTCGAAGACAAGCCACCAGTTTTGCATGCACCCGTGGAGTGTTGCCCCTGGAGTGTTTGCCCAGCACCACATGCAATGACAGTCAGCTGCTTTGACTTGCGAGTGTTGCCGCTGGAGTGTTTGCCGAGCACCACATGCAATGACAGTCAGCTGCTTTGACTTGCGATTCCTGTCACGGTGACTCCCAGGCACTTTAGGCTCCCAGGCACTTTAGGCTCCCAGGTTTCAGTCAGTTCCACTGAGGTTTTGAACGCCTGCCGACGGCCGCCGCGGCTCTGCGAAGACAAGCCGCCAGTTTTGCATTTACCCATGGAGTGTTGCATGCATGCCCAGAGTGTTTGCCGTGCACCACATGCAATCACAGTCAGCTGCTTTGACTTGCGAGTGTTGCCGCTGGAGTGTTTGCCGAGCACCACATGCAATGACAGTCAGCTGCTTTCACTTTAAAGGCTCCCAGGCACTCTAGGCTCCCAGGCACTTTAGGCTCCCAGGTTTCAGTCAGTTCCACTGAGGTTTTGAACACCTGCCGACGGCCGCCGCGGCTCTTCGAAGACAAGCCGCTAGTTTTGCATTTACCCGTGGAGTGTTGCATGCATGCCTAGAGTGTTTGCCGTGCACCACATGCAATCACAGTCAGCTGCTTTGACTTGCGAGTGTTGCCGCTGGAGTGTTTGCCGAGCACCACATGCAATGACAGTCAGCTGCTTTCACTTTAAAGGCTCCCAGGCACTTTAGGCTCCCAGGTTTCAGTCAGTTCCACTGAGGTTTTGAACACCTGCCGACGGCCGCCGTGGCTCTGCAAAGGCAATCCGCGAGTGTTGCACGCACCCGTGGAGTGTTGCCCCTGGAGTGTTTGCCGAGCACCAAATGCAATGACAGTCAGCTGCTTTGACTTGCGAGTGTTGCCACTGGAGTGTTTGCCGAGCACCACATGCAATGACAGTCAGCTGCTTTGACTTGAAATTCCTGTCACGGTGGCTCCCAGGCACTTTAGGCTCCCAGGCACTTTAGGCTCCCAGATTTCAGTCAGTTCCACTGAGGTTTTGAACACCTGCCGACGGCCGCCGCGGCTCTTCGTGAAGGCAAGCCGCCAGTTTGCACCACATGCAATCACAGTCAGCTGCTTTGACTTGCGAGTGTTGCCACTGGAGTGTTTGCCGTGCACCACATGCAATCACAGTCAGCTGCTTTCACTTGCGATTCCTGTCACGGTGGCTCCCAGGTTCTTGAGGCTCCCAGGTTTCAGGCTCCTGAAGCAGGAGTCAGACCAGTTCCTGGGTTAGCATATGTCAAGCAGCGCGGACAGTGACATCATGGCTGCATTGAAGCTCCGAGCGAAGGCGGCCGAGTCCACGGACACCGCCGCAGCTGCGGCTGCAAAGCCGTCCGAGTCCGAGACGGCGGAGTCGGAGGGCTTCACAATGGTCTCAGAGCCGGAGGAGCAGCAGCAGCAGCCTGGCTCGGGATCGACTTCGTTGGCAAGGGCCAGTGACGATGCCACTTCGTCGGATGTCGGCGAGAACATCCCACAAGTCCTTCAGTCCATGATCAAACCGGCGATGCTGCGCTACAAGGCTACGGATCTCCAGTCCCACTATATGCACATTGGCTTAAACGACTGGGAGTTCAAGTTAGATGTTACATTAATTATTTGGTTTATTGCTTTGAAATTATAATTAATCAGTTTTTTTATTATATATTATTATTATAGATCCTCCAGGCACCTGAAGCAAGCGCCGGACCTGCTGAGAGACCGTTACGACACGAGTGAGCAGTTCACGTGGGCACTGGCAGGGTTCAATGCGTATCGCAGCTCATTCTACCCAGACGGCAGTTTTTCCGACAATTGTGGCATCATAGCATGTACCTCGGCAGAATAACATTAAAATTTAATTTAATAATATAATAATTAAATAATTTAGTAATCATTTTAATAATAATTAATCATATTAATAATAATAGTAGGTTGTAGTTTAGTTTTTCATTTGAATTGTTCTGAAGATCGTGTCAACTCAGATTTCCCGTGGGAAGACATGGAGGTTATGCCCAAGTTGCAGAGCATCGCGA